TATATATATATATATATATATATATATATATATATATATATATATATATATATATATATATATATATATATATATATATATGGATGTATATTATGTATGTACAGGGTGTAACAAAACTAATGTCTCGACTATGCTAGATCTACATTGATCTACACTCTCGATTTGATGGAGAACAATGTAAAAAAGGTTTCGCAAAATTAACCTTGACCAGTTTTTTGAAGGTCAAATTTTTTTATGATTGCATCTTATTTTACTTATCGGGAAGATAAACTGTCTCCAAAGAACCATGGATCGAAAATGACTCGTTCTCCTAAAAAATGATTACATATATCCAATTATTATTAAACAAGCCATATATGTAATATGTTTATATTTTGCGTTTATATTGTTTAGAATAGGCTCTGCTATTGCACTTATTTAATTTTTTCGTCGAACATTTCTTCCACGGGCCCACAAGACAGCCATCCTGCCGTATTATTTGTAAAAGACGTGCACCTGCCTCTGCAAGGTGTCCGCGTTAAGTTTTGTTACCAGTTTTTAGGCATTTCCAGTAGTGCAATTAAAAATTATTTCAAATAAAATTTTTTTAGTATTTAATGGGCTATATGTTCTCATATTCTTAAATCCCAAAAAGTGTTTTTTACGTAAAAAAGTCAAGGTCACCTTGATTTTTTTAAATAGCACTATACATTTTTGATATCATAAGATTGTTGTTGATATCGAGACAAATTCGACAGTGTATTATACTGTGTCTTTGAAAAGATCTTAAACTACGATACAAAGCTCCGCTCTATGTATTAGACTTTTCGTTGTCGCTATAATTACGCTGTCTCTAAACAGGATGGTGCTGTCTTGTGGACCCGTGGAAGAAATGTTCGACGAAGAAATTAAGTAAGTGCTATAGCAGAGCCTATTCTATTGTAAAATATAAACATATTACATATATGGCTTGTTTAATAATAATTGGATATATGTAATAATTTTTTAGGAGAACGAGTCATTTCCAACCCATGATTTCTTGGAGACATTTTATCTTTTCGATGAGTAGAATAAGATGCAATCATAAAAAAATTTGACCTTCAAAAAACCGGTCAAGTTTAATTTTGCGAAATCTTTCTTACATTGTTCTCCATCAAATCGAGGATGTAGAATCGATCTAGCATAGTCGCACAGTTTTGTTACACTCTGTACAGTGAGAGACAAAAGTATTCGTTCACTTGCTATATCGAAATAAAAACACCAATTGTTACGGCGCAGCGCGACGGTGAACGACAGTTGCTACCCGCTTCGTTGGGCTTTCTCTCGTCGTGCCTTTTACAGCCGCCGGAGAGATGTTTTTATGAATGAGGACGAGATGTAGAAATAAATTCTTATATTTTACTATTGTATTGTACAAATGTTGATTGTAATGAATGTATTGTATGTTGTGAGTCGGGAGAGAGCACGCTAGCTCTCCTCGTGACTGACGCGGAGTCACTCCTCTGACGGACTGCTTATGACTACTTCGAATGGTATCTGTGCTGCGTGAATCTACGTCTTCCTAG